TTAAAAATGGAACTCCCATTTGACCCAGTAATCCCACTTCTAGGAATATATCCTAAGAAACCAGAAACACCAATTAGAAAGGATTTTTGCACCCCTATGTTCATAGCAGCACAATTTACAATAGCTAAGATTTGGAAACAGCCTAAATGCCCATCAGCAGATGAGTGGATTAGAAAACTGTAGTACATCTACACAATGGAATAAATTTGTTATAGAGAAAGGGCTTTGAGCTAGAATTCATAATAATAAAATTTGGGCTAAAAAATAGCCTCAAGCAAAAAAAAAAACCCAAAAAACTGTAGTACATCTACACAATGGAATACTACGCTGGTGTAAAAAAGAAGGAATTCTTACCATTTGCAACAGCATGGATGGAACTGGAGAGCATTATGCTAAGCAAAATAAGCCAGTCAGTGAAAGTGTGAGGGCATGTGCCAGGGGTAGGTCAATGGGGAAAAAAGGAGACATATGAACTACTATTTATAAAACTTTAAAAAATAAAATTTTAAAAAAATAGTTGAAAATTTTCTTATAAAGTTAAACATATACTTTTCATACAACCCAGCAATCTCACTCCTGAATATTTTTATACAAAAGCACTAAAACCCACACCAAGACTTTTAAGTAAATGTTCACAGCAACTTTATTCATAATATCCTAAAAATGGATCCATCTGAAATGCCCATCAATTGCTGAATAGAAAAAATACAGTGGTACATCCTTACAATGAATGAAATACTACTCAGTAATATTTAGGGAACAAATCACTGACACATGCAAAGAGAATCCCAAAATCATGATCATAAACCAGAGACCAGAAGCACCATTAGCATAGCTTGAGAACTTCTTGGAAGTACAAACTCTTGGTTCCCAACCTAGATCACTAAATCCAAGCCTGCAGGTGATTCATGTGCACAATATACTAGTATGGGCTCACTTCTGCTGCGATGTATCTTAAGACAATCAATCACAGAACTCACCTGTCCATATAAATAATCTGAGGAAACTCCAGCTTATTGTGAATTTTCTCTGGCTGACCAAGGGACTGATTGAACTCAAATCTTGAGAGTTCAAAGGTTAACACTGGAGGTAGTTTTGTAAACCAACACTATATCAGGAGTAGAAATGTGAGAGAAGCAAGTTATTTTCAGGAAATGGCAATAGCTAGATTTAAAATATCCCTCATAAATCTGTATTTTTGGTATAGAATTTATATACAAATCAAACTCATTCTACACTCGTGTTTAATCTCAAATCCTAAAGGAAATGACCACTTAGAATCATGCCCTCATTGAAAATATGGTTAAACGTTCCTCAATACTCCAGCTCAACTATTATCTCAGAAATAACCACCCTTAAATATGTGAATGCACAAGCACCTATGCAATTTATTCATTAAGTCATCAGTACTCAAAATAGATTCAAAACCTAAAGAAAATGGCAGCTTAACCAAAGAATTAGAAATTATAATCTAAGCAGCATATAAGGGGACAACTGTCTCCATGAATCAGCTAAAAAGACCAATATGTGTGCATATATAATGCACTATTTATTTACAGTCTATTAACCATAACTTGAATCCCCTTTCTGTCTAGAAAAGAAACTTGAAGTAGCCTTATGATAATGAGTTCTCAAGTTCCTGAGAAAATCTCTCAATTCCAACAATTTACAGACTTCTCCTAACATATGAACCTATAATGTTACCTTGAGTTTCAAGAAAAGAAAGCCCTGACTTTTAAAAACAATCTCAACTGTCACTGACCATAGATGAGGAAAAGCTAGAACAGTAAAGGCCTTTCTGTTCAATTCACCTGTAGGCCAGAGGTCTGCACGACAGCTTTAAAATATTCCCTTTACCAAAGGTACGAACAGCGGTTCCCTTCACATGCCCTCGTCGGGCCGAGGTGAATCCAGATAGCCTGTCTGACTACCTGAGGGCTAAATCTAAACAAGCATAATGATTTTCATATATATATGTGTGTGTATGTATGTATGTGTGTGTGTGTGTGTGTGTGTGTGTGTGTGTGTGTGTATAGTGTTCCCATCCTGGAATAAAGGTCTCCAGAGGGCTAAGTAACTGGTGAGCACCCCCTCTCTTTTGAAAGCACACCATCAGCTCCATGCAGCTCCTCAATCATGAATTGGTAACTTCCTTGAAAAGCTAGGGAAGCAGTTCCTCTCTCCAGATCCTAGCCCTGCCCTACCGCTAATGCACTTTGACAAGGCTCATGCTATGCTCCCTATTTTAACTCAAGAAAGCTTTCCTTCCTCCTATAGTAATTATTGAGCTGGACTCATCATATAAGCCATAATTTTGTCTCAAAATGGATGATGAGAAGGGAATAATCCAAGCTATGTGGTACTGACAATAATGCTACTAACTTATTAATTCTTAACCCAGCTGAAGTCTAGAGATATTAATTACCCTTGTTCTCCCTTTAATGTCCCCATTTCTTTCCAACCCACAAAAATAAATAAATGCAAAATTTAAAAAAATTAAAGTAAAGGCAGAAGTTACAATGGAAAACAGTAAATACTATAATAGGGAAAATATTCTAAATGGCATACCATAGGAGTTAATCACTGTACTTTTACCCTCCGAAAATATGGAGGCAGTGCGCTCTCCCTACTCAGGTACAGGTAGGCTTCAACAGAAAGAGAGAAACTTGATCACACTTGAAATATCAGCAGCAGCATACAACCTTATATGAGTAACTCAGACTCCAAATTCATACTTTCAGTAAAGAATTTATTTATCCAATAGTAAGACTCACCAACTCATATCAACCCATGAGAGATCTCAGACAAGTTTAAGTTTTGTTACATGTAAAGCTATGTGATGGGAAAACGACTGGCCAAAAAGCTCAGTCCTATTTAACTGGCTTTGTGGTTGGTGCACCAAATAAAACACCCAACTCACCTCTTGTCCGTACTTCACTGAATGGTCGGAAGGAAGCAGCTCAATGTCACCCTCCACCATGGCCCCTTCCAAACATTCGTCTAAGTTGTGATAGCCATTTACCTGAAGGGGATACTGGCCGAAGGTCTCATTGTTACAAAAGGGCTTTCCTAGACAAAGAAACAGATTGACTTTTAAAAGACATCACTAGCATAGCATAATCTAAAGCCCTTTTTTCTGGTACCAGAGACAATGTCTTCTTAATTCAGCAACATCCTGACAACTGATCTGTAGTGCATTTAAGCTTGTGTGGCAACTGCTAATGAACCAGTGGATCCAGGCCCAGACCACGGGCAACTGCTAACACTGCAAAAAGAAACGCAAGCAGACAGTAAATGCCTCCTGACCAAGACTATCCCACGAGCTATGAATCTGTCTTGCCTAAAAAAGCCTTACCCAGCCCAGCTGGTGTGGCTCAGTGGCTGAACGTCGACCTATGAACCAGGAAGTCACGGTTCCATTCCCAGTCAGGGCCCATGCCCAGGTTGCGGGCTCGATCCCTAGTAAGGGAAGTGCATGAGGCAGCCGACCAATGATTCTCTTTCATCACTGATGTTTCTATCCCTCTCCCTCTCCCTTTCTCTCTGAAATAAACAAAAATATATTTTGGGAGGGGAAAAAACCTTACCTGAATCCAGTCAAAGTCTAGATCCAATTACTAATTTATATCATGGATATGCAAGCAGCAAAATTTCAGAGTGTGGGAAATACAAATACTAGAGAACAAACAGCCCGCTTTCTTAAAAACCAAACAAAACATTTCAAGGAAAACAGATTGAAAAAGAAGAATCTACAGATTTTGAAAAGAGGCTTAAAACACATATCAATGAATCATAAACGCACCACATTCGGATCCTAATTAAGAGAAACTGTACTAATAAAAATAAACACTCTAGCTCCATTTATAACTATACAAGTTAACAATTTGAACGCTGACTAGATATTTGATATAAGAAATGCTATTTTTTGGTGTGAAAGTGATATTGGATTGTTTTAAGAAAAATGTCAGAGGGATAAGAGTAGACAGGGGTTACATGGAGAATGATTGGCCATAGGCTAATGGTTGCTGAGTTTATGGAGGTTTTTATATTGGTCTATTTCTATGTGTTCAAAATTCTCTATAGTTGAAAAAAAGAAAAAACCTCATGTAGCCAACAAGAGGCTTCTATAGTAGACAAACAATTCTGGCAGTCTAACACAATAAAATCTTTTGAGATTAGATATTACATTTGAAAGAACAGAAAATTGAGTAGCATCACTGTGTATCTAAAATTAATACTAGATTTGGGTGGTACAAATATTACACAATTTAATATAACATCTCTGAGATAATGATCAGGCCCATCTTTTTAAATTTTTTATTGACTGACGAGAGAGAGATGGAGAGAGAGAGAGAGATCGATCAATTTGTTGTTCCGCTTATTTATGCACTCATTAGTTGAGTCTTGTATATGCCCTGACCAGGGGTCAAACTCACAACCTTGGTGTATGGAGATGACATTCTAACCAACAGAGTACCTGACTGGGCCCATCTTATAGATGAAGACACTGAGGATCCAGGACCTCATAATTTGTTCACAGTTATACAGCTTCTAAGAGGCAGAACCAACACTCAGACCTGCATTTGTCTGATTCCCAAGCCTTTTCACTACACTGCCTCCCCAAATTGTCAAAGTAATATAGATTTGGTCACAGGACTAGCATTAACAGTTACAGCAGAGAATTTACCTTCACGAACCCCTTCAGTGAGGAAAGTACCGTAGAATAGCTGCACCATTGGATTTTCAGATTTGTTCTTGGGATTGCTGCTTTTAAAAAAAGGAGACAACTTGGTATCATTTGGATCAGATAAGCACTACACTAAACCCAACCATCATTCAAAAGCAAAAACACTACCTTTTCATTTAAACAAAGAGACAGGTATGGTCTAAAATAAGTAATAGATTATTTCAGTCCACACATTCACTGGACAAGTACATGCTAAAATCTGAAAGCACAAGGGCAATAAGGCCTGATCCCTGGCTGAAAGCCTAATACATGTATCTGTACACATTCAATACATACATAAGAGATATAGATATAGCTCTCCAAGGTATACAGGGTATAAAAGTAGTATATAGGTAAGAATGAACCTTCTTGCGCAGTTCCGCAAATAAACAGAAAAAGTTTTCCCAGTGGCATGACAGTCAAGGAATGAAAACACAGTTGACCCTTGAACAATGAGGACGTTAGGGGCTAAGTTGAAAATCCATGTATAACTTTGACTCCCAAAACTTAACTACTTATAACCTACTGTTGACCTTAAGCTTTACCAGTAACATAAACAGTTAATTAACACACATTTTGTATGTTATGTATTACTTACTGTATTTTCATAATAAAATAAAAGAAAATGTTAAGAAAATTATAAAAGAAAATAATAAACTATTTTCCACATTCATGACATACCTTTTTCTTAATTTTTTTAATATATCTAGGCTATATGGTTCATCTAAAGCTTTTTCAAATTGTCGCAAATCTCCAAAAATGTTTTCTAGCATATTCATTGGGAAAAAAAATTCATGTATATATGGATATGCACAGTGCAAACCCCATATTGTTCTAAGGTCAACTGTAGTTTATATCTACAAGCCTACCTTAAATTGTTAATTATGTACATTTCCATTTGCAAAGCTGTTTAATGATATACATTTCTTCTACCCAAAGTTATGACAATTTAGAAAGCAAATTCCTCAGCATCTATATTGGGTGAGGGATACTTGTATTTTTGCCCTGAATTTCACTTCTGCCAATGACTGACATGACTAAAAGCTGTTCTCTAACAGTCTACACAGATTACACCAGTTGTCTTAGATCAAATTTAATGATCTATATTATTCCACCATGTTCACATCTACGATTTAACCTTTTAACACATTTTATAGCACAGGCTATGGCTGTAACAAAGTTAATAATTATGGCCCGTTTAGTAAAAAAAATTGTGCGTTAATATGATTATCTATATCCTCAAAGAGAAAAACCAAAGGTAATGGGGATACACAATGACAAATATGAGTGGCTACCCCATGGAGTTTGGTAAAAATCAGAATTTCTTTTCTTTTCTTTTCTTTCTTTCTTTTTTTTCCTATTGATTTCGGAGAGGAAGGGAGAGGGAGATAGAAACATCAATGATGAGATAGAATCATTGATCGACTGCCTCCCACATGTCCCCTAGTGGGGACTGAGCCTGCAATCTGGGCCTATGCCCTGACCAGGAATCAAACCATGACCTCGTGGTTCATAGGTCAACATTCAACCACTGAGCCACACCAGTTGGGCAAAACCAGAAATTTTTACTTAAGATGAGTATTGTTCCCCCTTATCATAATTCTCACTGGACCACTGTGAGCAGGAAAGATGTACAAACGGATCCTCGACACTCACTTAGCATTAACAGCGAGCTGGAATGCATCCTCCAGCCAATCCAGAAGCTTGTGTGTGAATTCACTCACATCTTGCTATAAGAAAGGTAACAAATTGCATAGGAGTTAGACCCCACACTATACTTAGGAAAACAAACATTTACTTTATCCCACCAATCACTACGATTCTATTACCATGCAAAGATTTCTATTTTAAGGCCACCTCTCAAGAAGGTACATGGAACACTGGGACCAGCTACCAAAGGTGCAACAGAAGGCACATTAGGCAGCCTCTAAGTTGTGGCTAGGAGGAAAATGGAACGCTGCCACTTCCAGCTACCTCTTTTTGTAACAAATAAACTAAATCTTCCAGTTAGGGCTTTTTAAAAAGGTCCAAAGAACACATTGTAGTGCTTTAGAATTTATGAGATCTGAATGGAGAAAGAAAACTTTTGTAAAATGTTTCGAGATTTTGCAGAACTGTAGGACTTTTAGAGAAAAAAAATTACTTTTATGAGGAAGAAGCTACACTAATAATGAGAGCTTTGTTTCCCAATAGGAGGTGGGAAAAGAAGTTACTAATATCCAGAAGATTGCTCAGAGTTGCTGAACTCAGGGTTAAATGGTCTGCACCCCAGCAAACATATAGACAAAGGACTTTGTTTTTCTCAGTGACTCTTTGCTAGCACTCACTGAGCTATTTTCCAGTCTCCTCCTACTTCAACAGCCTCTTTACAATTGTTATTTCTACTACTACTTCTTCCTTTTAGAACTGCCAGCCTCCCAGACAACACACCCTCTTTTTACCACCTGTTCCTTAGGCAGTATAAAGGACAAAGGTAGGCACCCACAGGCCTGCTTACTCATGTTCACAGTTTATTACACGGTTAAAATAAACATGACTGTAATGTTAGGCATGATTTCAAACTCCACAGAGTCTGAGGGAAAACCTTGTACCTGCTGTTCCTCCGGTGATCGGAATGCTCCCTTTAAGAGATCGAGGGCTGCCGAAGGGTCTACAAATTTGCGATTTGATCCCATCATCAGAGCAAACAAATACTGAAGCTCTTGCATAAACATGATATTTCTCTTTTCCTGTAGAAAACACAGCAATGTGTACTCTTACAACCTCTCACTTGAAAAATTACAACATAAAAAGAGAAAAGTTGTCAACAATCACTCCTTACATTTATATTTACCTAGATCTAGACCAGGGTCAGGTCTCAAACTATGTTACAAGTACTCTGAAAGGTCTCTATAGGGGATTACCCTCAACTGAAAG